CACCGTTTCCCTCCTTTGATTCTGTGCAGCCATCACACATGTTTTTCTAAAAATATGTATATTTTATTGATTTTTATAGAGAGGAAAGGAGAGAGATAGAGAGTTAGAAACATGAATAAGAGAAACATCAATAAGAGAGAAACATCGATCAGCTGCCTCCTGCACACCTCCTATGGGAGATGCATCTGAACTAAAGTACATGCCCTTGACTAGAATCAAACCTGGGACCTTTCAGTCCGCGGGCCGATGCTCTATCCACTGAGCCAAACCGGTTAGGGCCTTCACCCATGTTTTGAATGACCACGCATTCCACGAGATCCTAGGCAAAAGAGAGCTAATGCAAAACACAAACATTTTAGAGAACGTCGGTGCTCCTTTTAAAATTATTTTGTCAAAGGAAAGCTTCAAGTTACCATGAAATTTTACACTCACTGCTGCTGCTCAACAAGACTTTAACTTTTACTCACTCAATGGGCCTCAGCAACTTTTCTCCCTCTCCGTGTGGAGCACTCCAGTTTTCCCCACAGGCGAATGGGCTGTGATCATCTGTGGTTCCCAAAGGACTCAGACCCTAAAAATAGATTTTGGAAATTTTATTAACCAAACATCTATTTTTGCAAATCCAGCGTTCCATGTTCTCTCTGTATAAAAAGCTGTGCAATGCAGCATCCATCAGAAAAACCATAAACAATACGGGTAGTGCTTATGCAACGCAATTTACTGTCCCAGCAAGAACCAGTGGTTTGTTACACGCATTATGCACTATTGTAACAGATCTTTCCAGGCTTTAGATGTGTGTGTGGGGCAAGAGGTCACTGATATTAACACTGGGGTAGGAATTCTTTGTAACACCAAGCCATAGCCTAATGTCTGGCATAGAATAGCTATACAAAAGGAGCTTATGAAAGAATTTGGGGTTATAAATGTCTGTGTTTGTAATGGATTCACTGATTTTTTAAAGTGCTACACTTAGAGATCTGAGGAGAGAAGTGAGGAAGAAGAGAAAACGTTTTGCCTTTGCTCTCTGGCCAAGCATTAGTCATTCATTTCACATGCCTCTGCTTCACTTAGGATTCTTAGTGGCAAGCAACAGAAACCGATTCTAGTGATAGGAGCAGAACAGGCATGAGCAGCTCACAGAACAGCTGGGAAGACCAGAGAAAGGGCTTGGGCAGTGGGTAGGACCAAGGGTGAGCTACCAACTGAAATATTTACCAAATGCTATGTCTCTAAGGCACACCTGACTGAGCCCCGACTGCGTGCCATGCCATAGGTTCCAGGGGATCTGGGGGAGCACGTGTTTGGCCTTTCCCAGCTTCTGTGATGAGAAGTGGAGCCGACTCTCACTAGGGCTCATACTATGGGAATTCCCCGAAGATGGAAAAGGATTCGCAAGTTAGGCAGCCAACATTTATGAAAGAGACCACTATACTTCCAGCTGGCTGAACCTCCCGGGTTCAGCATTCTAAATTTCTTCTCTCCTTTGACTTTTTGCCATGCCTGCATTGACAACCCTCAACACTGAATAAACACAATCACTGCATATCACGGACCTCAGCTGGTTAAAACCACTGAGGAAGTCTCAGCTGTTTAAAAGCCACTAAGGAAGTACACACAACTGGTCATGAGTCTTTTGTCTTTCTAGTAAACTCAATCAGTACAATGGTTCTAAACCCATCTCCAACCTCTTCCTCACCCCATAGAAACTTAATTGTATACATGTACTGAGAGAGAGATGTGCCCCAGGGAATTCCGATGCACACTTCTGGTTGGAAAACATGTCTTAGTTTCCCCTCCCCCCCACTTCCCACAGCTTCTTTACAAAACATTTCTATTTTTTCCGAATTCCTCCACTGCTATTCCATCAGTCTCAACCAATGATCCTTCTATTAGCTGGGAAAACTAGGCCATCTAATGCACACTCACTCACTATCAACTTCTCTCTCCTCCCTCTTACAATTTCTCCTTGTCTTTACCACTCCATTTTCCTGTCCTCCTTTGTTAGTTTTTTTTCTTTTTCCCCTAAGGCTAAACAGGCCACCAGTGCTCACATGGATGCTCTTTGGTCCACTCTGAGATCTAATACTTATCTTCCCTTTGACTGTGTCTTTGACCTCATTTCCCATGATGCCTAGTCCCCTTTGGTCCTGAAACATTTAAGTCTCACCCGACCTAATAGCACTCAACTTGACCCTACCTGCTGTAGACCACCTTCCAATTCCCCATCTTCCCTGCCCCATCATCCTTCACATTCACGGATTTGAAAGGAGTTGTTGTTCTCATGGATGCTTCATTCTCCACTCTCCATAACTGCTTCCAAGTTCATCCTCCACACACACACTGCACTTCCAGGGTCACCCTTGGCTTCCCACTGGTCCAAGACAATGGCGTCTTCTTAGTTTGAGTCCTTGACCTCTCAGAAGCATCTGACCCCATTGAAAACCCCTTTCCTCCTCATGTGGCTTTTGGTACAAATATCCCTCCTAATTTTTCCTTCTACTCCTCAGATGATACATTCTTGGCATCCTCGGCTGAGCTTTCTCTTCTTCTTGTATTTTTTTCCCTCTGGCCATTCTCATTTCTTTAGCTATAACTTCAAAGTCAATGGTACCTATGTTCATGTCATCAATCCTGATCCTTCTGTCTTGAGGTTCAGATCTTTTCAGAGGGTCACTTTTAAAGGGTGCTCGAGCCCTTCTCTGACCCCATGTTTTCTTCCTTGACTCCTTTTTTAAGAATTTATTGTGGTAAAATACACATAACATAAAATTTACCAATGAAACCACTTTTAAGTGCACAGTGTGGTGACATAAAGTCTACCCACGTTGCTGTGCTCCTCTGAGCGTTAAGAACACAGGCTCTGCAGTCTAATCTGAGTTCCAGTCCCTGCTCTATGGCGCTGGCTGATTCTCTCTGCCTCTCTGGCCTCACTTCCTTCATCCTGTTATTTTCTACTGTTGTTGGCTATGCGGCCACTGTCCTGAAGTAATAACAGTTTTGTTTATGAGTAGCAAACACCCTCAGAGGACTTGTCTTGCTGGAGCTGCTGCAGGAAGTGAAGACAAAGTGAGAGGTTTGAAGACACGGGTGGGTCTTAGCCAGAGGTAGAAGTTTGGATATATTGGAATGGGATTGCCGCATCTGGTATTGGCGGGGCTTTATGGCACAAACAGCTCCCCCTACACCCACCATGAAAAGGAAGGGAAAACAACCAGTAAGACTGTTTGGGTGGCTGCGTTAGTCTTCAGGGAGGGCAGTAATTGATCATCAAGTGACAGGTAAAACCTCCCTGAAAGCCGAAAAGGCGATGTTGTTGCTCTGTAAAAATTTGCCCAGGAAAGAGGAGATTTGGGGAAATTTGATGTGCATACCTTTTCAAACACCTTCTTAAATCCTGCATTTGAGAAGCATCCAGGATCTCAAAAGGACACTAATTTTTTGTCGCTTTTTTTTTTTTTTTTTTTTTTTTTTTTAGGAAAGTCTGCTTATGAATGTTGGGGATTCTAGCAGATCCCTCCTGAAGAAATATTTTATTTGTTGTTGTTTTTAGCATTTATTTATTTGTGGACTGATCTTATCCATCTCTCATATGCTGCCCAGTGCCTGTCTCAACTGTCTCAAAAGATGCGTGCTAGCACTGTCTTCTGTGTTGGTAATGAAGAGGTGAAGTATTTCATTATTAACTAAAAATTATTTTTATTGATTTCAGAGAGGAAGGGAGAGGGAGAGAGAGAGAAACATCACTGGTGAGAGAGAATCCTCCATTAGCTGCCTCCTGCGCACCCATACTGGGGATCCAGCTCACACTGGGGCAGGTGCCCTGATAGGGAATCAAACTGTGGCCTCCTGGTTCATGGGTGCTCAACCACTGAGCCACCCCCGCTGGGCACCAGGTGAAGTATTTTAGTGCCCGGATTCCACTTTTCCTTTTAGACTGTATTGAAGTATAGACACTCAAGGATTTCCGCCCAGAATGTCACAGGGTAAGGATAGAGCAGATTGCCCTTTACGGACAACTTTGACCCTCCATTTTTCTCATGAGGAAACTGAGGTTCAGAGGGGTTAAGGGTTGCACAGCGAATAAGTTGTCCAATCCAGCCTAGCTGAGCACCAGGACTACACACACATGTGGCCGCACAGGCCTGTTTTGAGCTATACATTGGCCGGTGGCCTTGGTGTTTCAGTATCGCCATCTAGGCATGTGGGCGAGGCAGCCCTTCCCTATTGGCAATGTCCCCACTGAAGCATCTGACATAAACTAGGGGCCTCAGCTGGACCTTGGGGAATGTGCTCAGCCTCCCTCCTCCCCCCCCCTCCACACACACACGTTTTATTACCAGAGGCCCCTTGGCTGGCATCTGCTCCCCGAGGCGCCCCTTCCTCCTGCTGGGCCCCCAGAGGGCGCGTGTCCACCAGGAGCGCCAGCTGTGCGCCCCAGCGGCTCGCCGTGCGCCCGCGCCCCCAGTGCCCGCCGCAGGCGCGCTGCCTGCCCCCTGTCCTTGCCTTGGGGACCACCCCACTCCCACCCGCGGCGACCGCCCCAAGGTCTCCTGCCCTCCTAGAGCCTCTGGGGACCGCTTCTGAGGGTCCCGCATCCCCCTGGGGGCGGAGCGAGGGCCCAGACGCCGGGGCGGAGAACCAGCACGGGGCCAGCCCAGCGCGCCCGCCCAGTGGCTGCCCGCGGCCCACGTTGCGCCCAGCGCGGCCGGCGGCGGCGGCGGGAGCTGCAGGGAGCGCGGCGCTGTGGCGCAGCCAGGCGGCCGGGCGGGCGGGGGCCAGAGGCTGAGCCCGGGCCAGCCAGCGGGGCGAGCCAGCCGCGCGCACAGCTCTGCCCGCAACCCCCTGAGCCGATCCCTGCCGCCCCCGGGGGCTCTCCCCGGGTCTACCTGAGCCCCCCTCGAGGTGCCCATCCATTTCCTTGAGTGACTACAGCGTGGTTTTTTTTTTTCTTCTTCTTCTTCTTCTCTCCTCCTCTCCCTTCCCTGTGTGCCCTTCTCCAGGATGGCAGAGGCAGAACTGCACAAGGAAAGGCTGCAAGCCATCGCCGTAAGTCCACTTTCATTTTATTTTCTTGCTCTATTGTCTGGGATGCAAAGGGACCTTGGAGCGTTTGGGGCCATGGACATTCCAGCACAGTAGCCGCCGCGGGGCTTGCGTCTGGGGTGGGGATAAAAGTCTGTCAAGGCTCAGCTCTGCTGCTTTCTCTTTTTACAAGTCTGCAGATGGAAATCCCCAGGCGCGCGTTGGGGCTGGGGATTTGAATGTGGAAAATTGGCTTAGAAATAAGATGCTACTGGGCTTTGGGGAAAGACTAAACAGACACTTGGTTGTAGGGGAGATGCCGGGGGAGGGGGTGCCAGGGAGGGCGGTGATTCCTGGAATATTACCACCCCCGGTGCTCAGTGATACCTCTGACTTCATACGCTGGAGAGCCAGAGCTCAGAGAGCAGAATGGTGCTGCCATCCTCTCTGCGGAAACGGTTCTCTGCTAAGTGGAAAAGCAGCAGTCAGCCCCGCTGCCAGCCAGCCAGCCACGCGGTAGAACCTCCTCCCTGAAAGCAAGAAGAAGCGTTAATTCCCCCCCTCACACCCTCCCCCCCCCCTCCAATTCTACTTGATACTGACAAGGGCACTGGCCCAAGCCACCACCCTGGAAGGGTCTGGGGATTTCTCGTAGCATATGGGTCCTGGGAATAATATTCTCTTATGGGTATGGGTAATATAAAAACCCATTTTTAGCGTTCAGAGGAGTGGCCAGTTTTGGCTAATTGTATATGCACTTTTAGAAAAGTGTACCCATATGTATTTTGAAGAGAGAGAGAGAGAGGGAGGGAAAGAGAGGGAGTGAGAGAGAACGAACTCTCGGAGACTGCCTAGATTCGAGCAAGCTTGCACAGTGTTGCCAATGGCCTACAGATGTGGTATTTTTACTGGAGCCACCACAGCTGGATTATATATTTCCTTTGCAGATGAGGGAATGATTACTGCTGCTATATGAAATAACAACAATTAAAAGAGAAGGTCTGTTAACATATTGGCATACAGGAATCTCCAGACATTTTTCTACTTAAGTACTTTTTCCCCCCCTCCCCCTTTTTGGTCCAGGAGTTCCCTGGAAACACATAAATTTATTGAAGAAATAGTGTGTAATGCTTTGGAAGCAAAGCGTATTAAAGTGTTTTTAAAAATCCTCTGGACAGCTTCTTCATTGGGAAAAAGGCATGCATCCTCCCCACCCCCCTTTTTTTAAAGAAGCATTTGATATGATGTCTGTGGCTCTGAGACCCTCTTTATCAAACTCTTCAAATCTGAAACGTCTTATAGAGAGTTTACCGCTGAAGTGAGAGAGTCTGTTGGCCATGTTGAAAAACTCTGGCTTGCCCATCGAGCCATCTCTGAGTCCTGGTCTTCAGACCTCAGGAGGGCTGCTCTTTCCTTTCTGCCCCTCCCCCTGTGGGCATGTGCATGTGGATGGTTAACGAAGTTGTTTCTGGTTCCTGAAGTGAGCGGCCAGGCAGTGTGGCCAGCGTGTCGTACGCTCGATAAGAATGGAGGCATTCAGTCATCAGTGCCATGTAGCTGGTGGGTGTTTTTATATCAACTGAATAATGGGCTGCTTGAACCGTCCCTGAAGTGGCTGCTCCGGAGAACAGGCGGCGGCCCCCACGGGCTGCTGCTGGACGTACCCAACAGTTGGCACAGTCCCCGCCTTTGCACGACCGGCTTTGCTGGATGCCCGGGGAACAGCTGAGCCTCATGAAAGGACGTGCTTTCTGAACGGGGAGCCAGGAGCAGCCGACACGGGGGCCACCCGTTTCCAAGCGGGCTTGGGTAATCCCAGCGAGGCCAAGTGGAGTTTGGAGAAAGATCTAGACAGTCCTTTAGAATTCTCCTGAGAAGAATAAACACAAATGCTCGTGCTTTTTTTTAGTTATGGCCTTGAGTTTCCCTAGGCACCTGGGAAGCTGTTGATGATTCTCTTGAATATATTACAGAGTTTACCCAAAATGTATAGACAGTGTTTATTAAAATATATTTAACAACCATCAGTTGGTAAAGTATGTATATATTTGGGGAGGGGAGGGGGAGAGACATCCTGTATATGTTATTGGCAGTGCAGGTTTTCTAACAGTGAAATCACTCTGTAAGTGTGTTGTGTGATTGTGTGTGTGTGTGTGTGTGAGAGAGAGAGAGAGAGAGAGGAGGAGTGGGAGTGGGGGTCTTGTGACCATATCAGTCATATCAGTCATTCAGTTGGCTGTGCTTTGGCTTTAGTGCACACCCCCCAATCCAGCAAACCCTGCATCTCTGCCACCTTCTTACCGTTTTCAGGGGTTCCTGGGGCGCTCACAAGCCTGCCCTCAGAGCCCCGCGCTCCGGGAGTCTCAGTGGAGATGGGAGGGAGGATGAGGATCTCGCCTCGTCACCAGCTTGGGCTTCTCTCCAAGAGGCAGAGCAGATAGACTGGGACCACCGTCAGCAGGCCTCGGGCAGTCTTTAGTCCGGGTCTCAGTTCCGTCATCTATAAGACGGACTCATAAGTTCTACCTCTCTGTGACACAGGAGGTGAAGTAGCTGGTAATAACGTTGCCATTGGTGTGGAGGCAGAGCCCCCAGTTCCTGTCAGCACTGCTGCCTTGTCCTGTGGGGCTCAGAGACAACCTGTGAGAAGGGGAAAGGCTGAATAGCCATATTTATCCTCTCCCTTCACTCACTGAAGGCCAACGCTCTGCCCAGAGTCACTTCCTCTGGCTGCTTCAGACACAGGTGCAGAGAGGTCACCTGAAGATCCATGCAACAAGTACTTGCAGAGCACTTTCCCTGGGAAGTTACTCTGAACTGCTCCCAAATGGTGGCATCCTCTTATGACTTTCCCATGAGCTCGCTGTGCAGCTGTTTCCAGCAGCCGTCATGTGTGACCATGCGGGAGAAGCAGACTGACTCAGTAGCACTGGGACAGTCCGAGATAGACCAGGAGGCCCCCATCCTTTTGAGAATCTTTCAAGCCGAGTTTTAGTGCGTGGGAACACCCCATGGAAGCTGGAAATGCATGAGTAACATTCCCTGGGGGAAGAGTGCTGGGTCTCAATGGAAACCAGCTCTGGGGGAAGATGGTGTGATATCGGCACACCCAAGAGGAAGAGGGTCTTCCCTGGGCACGTGCGAAGGTGACGGAATAGTATGGAGCTGGTCATGGGCAAAGTCCTCAGAGCCAAATGGACAAGGCCTGCTCCAGGGACCAACGTGAGTCTATGCATATGTGCTGAGGTAGGAAATGTCAATCTCGCCTACCCTCAGTCTTTAGTAAACGTTGTCATTTAATCAGAGCCCACTCTATGGAATAACAGAAGTGTGGGGTATTTTGCATTTGTACAGCACTTTATGTGGGTTTTTTGTTTTGTTTTGTTTTTAAACCTATATGTTACCTTACTTCTGAAATGTTCAAGGTCGGTCTCATTAGCTCCACTTTACAATTGAACATACAGAGCTATCCAAGCTCACACAGGGAAATGCAGAGGAATTGTATTAAGCCCAGGCTCTCCTGACTCTCAGTTCTTTGTGTTAGTGGCACACCTGGCCTTGGGTGGCGCTCTGCTAGGGGTGGGAGCTGCCATAGGATCTTCTGAGCTGGAGTCCCAGGAGAAAGGGGGAAGGAGCGGGGTGAATTTCGGGCTAGGTGGGCCTGGATGTGCCTCTTCGGAATCTGCCCTTTCCTGAGTCTCACTTTGGGCCCCTGTCCCTCCTGAACGGAGTGCAGGCAGTGGGCTTGTGGCTCTACCTTGCCCTCTTTTCTGTGGAGAAGGCCTGTGTGTATGTGGGTAGTGCAGGCTGGCTCTGCCCTGCACTCTGCAGAGAAACACTTGTGCTGGTCCATTGGATTCATCTCTCAGTGCCTCTTCATAAGGCCTTAGGTACCAGGTTGAGGTGTGGGACCAGGGGCCAAGGAGGCCACACATCCTGCTTTTCCTCCACGCCTCTTAGGTGGGCCTGCATATCCTGAGCAAAAGATCCAGCCCCGCTGCCTAGGTCAGAGATCCCTCAGGGGTTGGGGTGGGGTTAACAGTCTTAATCTTAAGCCTACAGTTAAAAAAAAAAAAAAAAAAAAAAAAAAAAAAAAAAAAAAGACGAGATTATGGGGGCCACCCCCATACATGTGCCCTGGAAATCTCTTCCAGTGGCAGGCAGCTGGCAAAGGACTGGAGGATTGAATATGCTGGCCCCTTATTGATCATCTTCCATTTCAGAGACACAGATGGTGTCCTGCTTCTAAAGTTCCAAGTCAAGAACCCCCAAAATGGGTTGTTCAGGACATTGGTGCTGAGAAAGGGTCACCCCAGCTGAGTCTGTAGGGCCACCCAGCACATAGTTAATTAACACTTGGAGCCTCTTTGGAGTCATTGCCGGCTCTTAGGAATGCTGAGGCTGGCCTTGCACCACCATTCACCAGGGCCAGACACCTCTCGAGCAGCTTTTTGGGCAAGGGCCTGAGAAATATAGCAGTCATTATTAAAAAGCCACCAGGAGGCTTGTGCATTATGATTTGTCAATATTTAGAGGAAAACCAGAGCTCAGTAGAGGCAATTTTACATTTCTTTGGGTCTACTCAACACTTCTGGGTGCCTTATTGTTGGTAGTACCCACATTTTATCACATCCCTTTTGGAGATGTTACCAACTTGGTTGGCACTAAGAGTTGGTCATCATGTGATATGACATTGACTGAGACATCAAATGGGCATTGACCATGGTCCCGTGAGCTGGCAGCACAAGTTAATGAGCATGGATTCTGGTGTCCAAAGTCTTGGCTTAAGTTTGACTGTTCTACTAGTGTCTGTATGACCTTGCTATGTGTTGGTTTCCTCACCTGTCAGATGGGCATAATTGATCTTAACCACCTCATGGAATTACTGTGAAAGTTATTTGAGAATTTAATGTGAAATGCTCAGAGCAAGGATGCAGAAAAAAGTGTTCTATTTATAATAAGTGAATCAACAAATCATAACTCATGCATCTTTACACAGAAAGTGGACACCAAGGGCTAAAGAA